GCGCCTCAATGTAGCGTGACCGTTGAAAATGTTCAAAGCGCACGCACGAGACAGCGGCCCACACCAGAAAGGTCAAAATCAGCAGGTGCGTACCGGAGGACTGCTTCATCATCAAAAGGAGATTCACCATCTCCCATGACTGCAATTCCGTCCTCTGCTGCACCTGATGATCAGGGGGCAATAACCGGAACGGCTGGGTCAACCAATGATCCGTGTTGAAGGGGAGGCCAAAGTTCAGGCGGAACCAGTTGAGGGCCTGATACATGGATGAGGCTGCTGTTGGGCCACCCTGGGCCACCATACGCAAGAACTCACCCAGTTGAAGCGGCGTGGGTGCATTGACTGTATATTGCTTGCTGGCTGCATAGCGTAACCACCGTCGCAAAGCTGCCAGTAATGCCCCAATGCGCTGCTCTGTAAGCCTCCCCGTGGTCTGCATCACCTGGTCCTTGAGCTGTTGGAGCCGCACCGGGTCGCCGAGGTCAGCCCAGGTGACACCCAGTTCCTCCAGATTGAGGAAATTGGTCACCAAAACATCAAATAGGGCCTGCGTCTTTGTGGCCTTCTTGGCCACCTCTTTGGTGTGTGGGTCCGATGCCGCGGCCGAATGCAGCATCGGTGGCCGCCCTGGGATCCCGGTCGCCAGGAGCTGCCGTACCCTGCCTTTAGGGCCCTCCTCGGACGGCTGGGCCACCACCGAATGGGTCTCCACCGCAGAGCGCCTATTGCCCACCACGGCCTGCAAGACCCGTCGGTGATGATCATTGGCTCGACGATGGGCCAATGTCCATAGAGCGCTGACCTGAAAGGCCTCCTCCGAGCCGAGGGCCCCTTGCCTGGCCTCCAGCTCGCCCACCAAAGCTCCGCCATTGTCCCAAATGCTCACCACGTCCTGACAGGTTTGTACACCATTGTGACAAAACAGGGATACCAGGGCATCGGAGTGGTCAGCGACCAATTCCAAGAGTGCCGCCTCCATGGCCTGGTCTGGTTGCCGAATGGCCATCACCTGACGCCGCACCCCGGCAGGCGAGCGAGATGGTGACCGTGGTCGACGGCGATCTGGAGGCGGGCCTGGCGGAGGGGTAGGGCCAGCAGCCGCACTACCCTGTCGAACTGGGGGCGGAGCTACCGGAGGCTGCTTGGGGGGAGCTGGACAACTGCTCAATGATGAGCTCCCTGGTCCGCTCGACGGACAATCCGAGGACCTCCGCGACCTCCTCAATGGGGACCTGGCCGGTGGCATCTTGGAAATGGGGTGGATTGGACCTGTCACCCCACCCGGAGATCTCGACCTGGTCTTCGGCGTCGTGCCCTCCTTGGTCGAGGTACGCGGCATGGCCCTGATGCCACGTGACACCGCGAAACCGGCACTGGTCACAGACCAGCTCGAGCCGATCGCAGGTGGTGCACACCGCACCGAATGACTCGGGCTGCCGAGCGTAGCAGCCCTCACACCAGGAGGCCGTGTAGTCTCCGCAACACCGGCAGTGATCTGCCTCAAGATCTGGCCGCCGCTCAATAGATGCCCACACGGCCACAATATATGCCGACCTCGCGCCAAGGTCAGCTCGTCGCTCTTCCGGCGACAACGTGGAGGGATCCACGCCCCGATGCGACCTGCGCCACCGTGTCGCTCCCGGGTTCCAAACCGCGAGAGACGATCTTGAGCCAAAATGGCATCAAGATCAGGAGTAACCCCTACATGTTTCAAATCCCAAAATGTCCCTACCCAACCAGCCATTCATTTTGTGGAGATAACCTTTCTCGGGCCACCCCCCCGAACCCCGACCGACTTCACACATAGACAATTTCAGCCACATTCAGATGAAGCAAAAGCCAAACAATGCACCAAAATTCGAGGTGGCCTGGGACCAAACGCTCGCTGCCCGAAACTATATGTTCAGGCCACCTCAGAAATGAAGATATGCGAAGCAAGGGTCCTGAGGTGTCTCTGCGACAAGGCTTTTGTTAAAACAGACAATTTTTCAAGCTAAATTCAAGGTGGCCTGAGACCAGGGTTGCTGCCCTAAAACACTCTGTTCAGGCCACCTTAAAAATGAAGGTCTGCGAAGCGAGAGCAGCGGACGCACATTGTCCTTCTGCTGCTTGAACGTGGCCTTTTGTTTACTTAAAAGTTCAAGACCTCCCAGCTGTTTCCACCTCTTCGCTTCCCAGTCTTCCCAGGGTTCATATAGGGGGCCAGGCCATTTTCAGAATCTTCTGGGTTTGAGCTGTTCGAGTTCCTATTGAAGGGTATAGTTGGCGAGCGCGTCACCACCCGCTCCAAAAGCATCAAAGCATCACCCCCCAGAGTTTACGTATATCTTTCTCCAAGAGTTTACGTATACCTTTCTCGGGCCACCCCCCCCGACCCCCGACCGACTTCACACATAGATAATTCCCATCCACATTCAGATGAAGCAAAAGCCAAACAATGCACCAAAATTCGAGGTGGCCTGGGACCAGAGGCTCGCTGCCCGAAACTATATGTTCAGGCCACCTCAAAAATGAAGATATGCGAAGCAAGGGTCCTGAGGTGTCTCTGTGATAAGGCTTTTGTTAAAACAGACAGTTTTTCAAACTAAATTCAAGGTGGCCTGAGACCAGGGTTTGCTGCCCTAAAACACTCTGTTCAGGCCACCAAAAATGAAGGTCTGCGAAGCGAGAGCAGAGGATGCACATTGTCCTTCTGCTGCTTGAATGTGGCCTTTTGTTTACTTAAAAGTTCAAGACCTCCCAGCTGTTTCCACCTCTTCGCTTCCCAGTCTTC